TATTAAGCACAGGAAATTAGCAATTTTGCACTCTCAAGGCTTAATTACGGATAGGGAATTGTTTCTCAGACTTAATCAACAATTGTCCAGTTAGAAATATAGAAAATAGGATTAAGAGTGGGCCATTCGTCTCTTCAAGCCTGCTCCACCATTCAGTACAATCTTATCTGATCATCCAACTCAGCCCCCTGTTCCTGTTTTCTCCCCATATCCCACGATCCCTTTAGCCCTAAGAATTATACCTAAAGCCTTCTTGAAAACTTTCAATGTTTTGGCATCAATCACTTTTTATGGCAGCAAATTCCACAGGCTCACCACTGTCTGGATGAAAACATTTCTTCTCATCTCAGTCCTAAATGGTCAATCCTTAGACTGTAACCCTTGGTTCTGGACTCCCCGCTCATCGGGAACTTCATTCCTGAATTTACTCTGTCTAATCCTGTTAGAATTCTATAGGTTTCGATGAGATCCCTCTGTCATTCTTCTAAACTCCAGTGAATATAATTCTAATCGATCCAGTCTATTTTCATATGTCAGTCCTGCCATCCCAGGAATCAGTCTGGTAAATCTTCTTTGCACTCCCTCCATTGCCAGAACATCCTTCCTCAGATAAGGAAACTAAAATGGCACACAGTACTCCAGGTGTGGTCTCCCTCAAGCCCTGTATAATTGCAGCAAGCCATCCCTGCTCCTGCATTCGAAACATCTCACTATGAAGGCCAACATCCCATTTACCTTCTTCACCTCCTGCTGCCCCTGCAGGCTTACTTTCAGTGACTGGTGTACGAGGACACCCAGGTTTCATTGCACCTCCCCCTTTCCCAATCTATCACTGTTCAGATCATAATCTGCCTTCCTGTTTTTGCTCCCAAAATGGATAACCTCAAATTTACCCACATTATACTGCATCTGCCATGCATTTGCCCACTCATTCAATGTGTCCAAATCACACTGAAGTATCTCTGCATCCTCTCACCCAGCTTTGTGTTGTCTGCAAACTTGAAGATATTATATTGAGTTCCCTCACCTAAATCATTAATATATATTTGGAATGGCAGGGATCCAAGCACTGACCCCTGTGGTGTACCACCTTAGGCTGCCACTCAGAAAAAGACTCATTTATTCCTTCAGAGATAGTAGGAACTGCCGATGCTGGAGAATCTGTGTGTTTCCTGTCTGCCAACCTGTTCTCTGTCTATTTCAGGACACTACCCTCAATCCCATGTGTTTTAATTTTACACACTAGTCTTTTATATGGGACTTCAGCAAAAGCTTTCTGAAAGTGCAACTCAACCACGTCTACTCGCTCCCACTTATCAACTCTACTAGTTACATACTTGAAAAATTCCAGTAGATTTGCCAAGCATGATTTCCTTTTCGTAAATCCATGTTGACTTTGTCTGATCCTGTCACTGTTTTCCAAGTGCTCTGCTATTACATCTTTTATAATGGACTCTAGCATTTCCCCCATGACCATAGTCAAGCTAACTGGTCTGTAATTCCCAATTTTCTCTCTATCCTCTTTTTAAATAGTGGTGTTTCATTGGAGGGTAGCTAATCTGTAGGAACTGTTCCAGAGTCTATAGAATCTTGAAAGATGACGATCATTATTTCTAGGGGCACCTCATTAATTACAAGGGTAGTAGATTATCAAGCCCGGGGGATTTATTGGCCTTCAATCCATCAATTTGCCCAACACCATTTCCCTACTAATACTGATTTCCTTCAGTTCCTCCCTCTCACTGGACCCTATTTTCCCCCGCATTTTGGGACATTATTGATGCGCTCGTTGTGAATTTAACTGGTTTGTCATCTCTTTGTTCCTGGTTATAATGTACCTGTTTCTGACTAAGGGATCTACATTTGTCTTTACTAATCTTTTTCCCTTCACATGCCTGTAGAAACTTTGACAATCAGTTTATGTGTTCCCTGCAAGGTTACTCTTGTACTCGATTTCCCTTCTCTTCATCGATCCCTTGGTCATCCTTTGCTGAAATCTAAATTGCTCCCAATTCTCAGGTCTGCTGCTCTTAGCCAGTTTTTATGTCACTTCCTTGGATGTAATACTATCGCTAATTTCCCTTGTTAGTAATGGTCAAGCCACTCTTTCTGTTTTGTTTTTGTGGTGAACAGGAATGAACAATTGTTGCAGTTCATCTTGCGCTTTTTCATTGTTTACCATTGCTTTTTCACTGTCATCCCCTAACCCTGATTTATCATATTCTGCTCACAAATCATACCATCCTAATTTCCTTTATTTAGATTCAGGACCCTAGTCTCAGAATCATCTACATCATTCTCCATCTTAATGAAGAATTCTGTCATATTATGGTCACTCTTCCCCAAAGGCCCTCACACAGCTAGATTGCCAAGTACTGTTTCCTCATTACACAACACCCAGACCAGGATGGTCTGTTCTCTGGTTAGTTCTATTGATCCAGTAAACCATCCTGCACACACTCCAGGAATTCTTCTGATATGGTGTTGATACTGATTTGACCAATCATAATGCAGATTAAAGTCACCCACAATTGCAGCTGAATCCTTGTTGCCTGCATCTCTAAATTTCCTGTTTAATGCCTTCCATAATATTACACTACAATTTGGGGGTATGTATACAAACGCTACTATCATTTTCTCCCCTTGCTGTTTCTAAACTCTATCCATACAGATTCCACTTCACCAGGGCTAATATCCTTCCTCACTATTGCGTTAATGTCCTCTTTTACAAGCAATGCTCTCCCATCTTCTTTTCCTCCTTGTCTGTCCTAAATGCCTGTCAATATTCTGCAGCCATGTCTCCATATTGCCAACTATATCAGACCCGCTTATATCTGTTTGTGTGACTAATTTATCCCCTTTATTGCGAATGGTCTGCGCATTAAGACACAAGGCCTCAAGGCTTGTCTTCTTAACATTCTAAGTCCAATTCACATTATTTTGCACTGTGGCCTTATTTGATTCTTACTTTCTTTCAGTCACTCACCTCACCTCTGGAATTCAGCTCTTTTGTCCATGTTTGAACCAAGGCTGTAATGAGGTCAGGAGCTGAGTGGCCCTGGTGTCAAATTAGGTGTCACTGAGCAGGTGCTGCTTGATAGCACTGTTGATGACATCTTCCATCACTTTACTGATGATTGAGAGTATACTAATGGGGCAGTAATTGGCCGGGTTGGAATTGTCCTGCTTTTTGTGTATAGCACATACCTCATGTTGTCGGGTAGATGCCAGTGTTGTAACTATTGGAAGAGCTTGGCTAGGGGAGCAGCAAGTTCTGGAGCACAAATCTTCAATGCTATAGTTAGAATGTTGTCAGGGTGTTTGCTGTATCCAGCGCCTCCAATGGTTTCTTGATGTCACATGAAGTGAATCAAATTGGCTGAAGACTGGTATTTGTAATGCTGGAGACCACTGGAGGAGGCCGAGATGGATCAGTTAAAAATTAACCCCTGAAAAGTGCGTTTGCAAATTGAAAACACAATTGATGAGGCGCACGCCTTTCTGATATTGCTGTAAAGGTAAGACAGACCAACAGAGTTCTGGGCTGTCAATACAATATATAAACAGTTCCTTTCAAACATTCAGCTATTCTGCTATTACTTACAACCCATTGTTAGCCACTAATAGTCCCCATTAATAGCTATTCACCCTCCTAGCCAGATCATTATCCACTCCTTTGTCTCTCTAACTGTTCTTTTTTCTCTTTTGGGCTCTACCCCACCTATTGTTTACTCCTTACTCTCTCCCTACCTTCTGCATATGAACTGACATTTTCCTAGCTACCATCAGTTCTGGGGAAGGGTCACTGGACCAGAAATGTTAACTCTGATTTCTCTTCGCAGATGATGCCAGACCTGCTGAGTTTTTCCAGCAATTTCTGTTTATGTTCCTTTCAAAAGTTCATTCAATATGAACTTTAGCCATTGACAAAACCCAGTGTTAGTGACAAAGTGCAGAGGTAGGTACCGTATTTATTCATGTAAAACTCAAATTGTTGAGCCCAAATTGTTTTAGGCCAAAAGTCATGGGGTTGACTTTTACACGGGTCACATTTTATTTGTGCCCAAGTGAAATCCAAAAATGACTATCACCATGTAAACTAACAAGGCTGAAAAATTCATATTCATTGTCATTCATAATCTGCTGTCCTTAAAAATTTGAATAACTAAAAAGAAAACTTAAAAACTAGAAATATTTTAAGCATTTTCATACCAATACTCATTATCATTACAGTGAAATTAGATCATTAACATCTTCAGGATTATACTGTGATTCTGAATTTTTTGGGACTTGATTCCATGAATAAAGTAGAATCACGTTTACACATATGTCAAAATCTTGGAGTCAACTTGTACATAGAATCCTTACAGTGTGGAACCAGGCCATTCAGCCCATCGAGTCCACACCGACCCTCCAAAGACCATCCCACTCAGACCCATCCCCCTACCCTATCTCTGTAACACTGCATTTCCCATAGCTAACCCACCTAGCCTGCACATCCCTGGACACTATGGACAATTTAAACACAGCCAATCCACCTAAGCTGCATGTCTTTGAACATGAGATCAACTTTCACAGTATACAGTAAATCCTTTAAAACATTTTCCTGTAACTCGTGTCCAAATATTTGTTCATCCATAGGTAATAACTTTTGCAAAAACATAAGAGACCGATGATATCAAACAGTCTGACAACATTATCCAACAGTTCATTGTAATTGCAGGTCACCTAGTTCTCCTATTTCAGCACTTTCACACTGCTGGGCTTGTCTCTAACAGAACAATAATTCTGTATACCCGTTCTCTTTGTCCTCCCTCTGTCAAAACTCCCCACTGCCAGTGGTTCTCAAAGCCTTCTTAGAATTCTGTGCATTGGTTATTCTTAGCCAGGTTTCTCAATACAGTCCAAAAGCTCAAAATGTTGGAAGTGCTAAGTCAATTTTGCTCAATCCTTTTGAAGTTCTTCCTCCTGTGTGCTGTTTCTCTCCAAAGCTAGAATTCTTAAACTTCTATTGCCTGTTTTTGAACTCCTGGTATTTCAGGAGTCTCAACATGTCTGGATGTGTCTCGCTGCACTCCACTTAGAACCTGTAGCTGCTTGGTCAAGTGACTTGTAGCAGCCATATTTTTTAGCTTCTTGGGTTCAATTAGAGTCAGTTAGTTTTTAAAAAATATCAATAATGTCATCAAGCCTTTGCTCATGACAGCAGCACTACAGACAGTCTGCATTTTTAACAAGTGAGATTGTCCTCCTGTTAACAGTGAAACTGAAGTTTTTGAGAAGATTTGTAGCTCAGGTTGTGGATGAGGTTGTAGACTTGTTTGGTGAACCGGTGTGTTTGATTGCAGACATTTCGTCACCCTGCTAGGTTTTTGAAAAGATTTGTAGCTTGGGTTGTGGATGAGGAGGCACACTGACGATGTTACGTAGCAGGGTGACGAAATGTCTGCTATCAAACACATCGGCTCGGCGAGCAAGTCTACAACTTCAGTGAAACTGAAGCTTTAAGCATCTTGTGGATTCATCATAATGTCCTTGCAGCTTGAGCCCCACATTGATGTCTCTTTGATAAACAGTGGGTCTGTCATTTTGAATGAAGTCAAATGCAGTTAGAAACTAGACATCAGTTACCTATCAAATGCTGTCCTTACAACTCTGCAGTTAGTATTGCAACTGCAATATATCAATCCAGAGTTGTGAAAATTGAGAAGCATGGTGATCTTTCTCTTCGCTGATAACAGAGTGAGAAGTAGTTTGTGACTTTGGGTCGTTCTGCAGAATTTCACACTGTTAGCCAATACTTCTCTCATGAAGCTCCAATCCTACAGGTATTGCTCTCCTTCCTTCTTTATACGCACTTTGGAGAAGTTACTGGTGCCTCACTGGCTGGGCCTCCAGCATCTATTGCTTCTCTCCATCTGCCTGAAAAACACTGAATACAGGATGCCTTTGGAAAGACCTTTGCAGTTCAGTAGTCTTTCTGAACACTCTGAGAGAGCTGGAAATTCAAAACCTCTCTGTTTCAGAAACCCACAGGACTCTGTTCAGGAAGATAAAGCTGAAAACTTTGGAAATTCCAAATCATGCCAGTATTAGATGACTGTTGGCCCTCTATGCCTGGGTTTCTCAGCATCCAGAAAGCCAGTGTAAATCCAGCAAATGTATAATCTGTCTAGTTTGGGGCCAGAGTTGTGTCAATGAATGACATTGGTTTATAACAAAGAAACCAGACACTTATCCTGAATTCCCTTCATAGTTCATCCTGAAACTCATCATTAAATCATACTTACACTGTTATTTCAACTTAGATATTAGGCAAATTTCCATCTCTGACCTTGGCAGTAATAGTCAACAGGAGTTTAGAATTTTGGTCTGTAAGGCCTTGATTTTAACTTTCAGCAGGCTGTGGCAGGCGGCAAATGATCCTCACCACAGCAGCATGAGACTGGGTCTCATTTGTTTGTCCCTAGTCGGTTTCCCACCCAAAACCTGGAAAGTAGTTGAGGCTGGTAGGCAGGCAGGAATACCAAACTGGGCAGCAGGATGAACTGTGCCCTGGATTTGTATAAATTGCCTGCTTCACCTAGCCCCACAAATAATTTTTTTTAAAAAAAATGCTAAAAGGACTTAGCTTGCCTGGCCCCATACACCCCTCCCCGTTAGGATTTGGATCACTGTCCAGATCTCCAATTACATGAGACAACAAGGTGCAGAGCTGGATGAACACAGCAGGCCA